TAAATGATATAACGTTCTAAGATAATTAAATCAAAAACTAAATGCTTAAAACAAAAGTGTCATTGATCTTTATTAATCACTTCATTAAAATACAGTTAGTTGAACATCYGAGAAAAATGTTTTTTAAGAGTTTTGAATGAATATTCGAATTGGTGCCTACTCGTACAGATAATATTCTAAAAACGTATTTTTCTTGTTGACTATATGATTGTAGTATTCTCAGACTAAAAAGTGTACCTACTAAATAACTTAACAAATAAATATCTATTGAAAAAATTACTGTGTTCAGTAYATAGAGATGCACACGGGTGCAGCAAAAGCTTCATGTGTTGCATCCGCRACATCTTTCGAGTCGATTAATTGGCCTGTTATAGCCGCTTAGTCACAATCGGCGGCCTAGGAAATGCATTATTTAATATACCTATAATACATATAGGTAGATAAGAAAGATAAAATAGATCTGAACCAATTTTTCTATTAGAAAATTGATACTTTCAATTTTGTACAGTAATTATTGTACCTTTAGACAGTCAAAATTACGATGTTCGATGATAGATATACAGTGTACATAAAACAGACATAAATTTTGCGTTACTTTTTACATTCGGTGTCGTATTAAAAACGATCTAACTTAATCAATGAATATAATTATTTCTACGCTTTACAATATGTACTCTGTAATAGACAAAATATAAAACATATGTAGGTACTTACCTGTATGGTTGCTGTGTCCTACATGTAGCATAYATCAAATTTACTAATGAAATATACATTTGGTAGGTATCATAAATAGTAACAAACTTAATCGTATAATACCTTTTCTAAATTTTTGTTTTAAGTCTCAATGTCATTATTATCGACTCTTATTGTTAGTGATATTTAGTACAAATGTTTGACATTATGAACAATACATTATATCAATAATATAAATCAGGTAAAATATGATAATATTACAATGTATACCGTAGTCTTTAGCAGAATGTAATATAAGTTAGGTAATAATATAATATACTATATAGTATACACAAGTTTTAATAAACCTTACAATTATAAAATAATAATTACATGTATTAGAAAGTCGTACTTAGGACGCCGCGCACACAGAAAGCTTAAGTTATTGCTAATGTTATTATTATGATATTAATAGGTAATAAAATATTAAATGCTTATTTTTACGGTTCAAAATTTAATTGGCTAATTGTCAAACAATGGGCCACTTTATTCTGTTTCTGTATGCTGCATTTGCGATTTAAGTCT